AGGGGGGGGGGGGGAATGACAATTTTATTGCCAAATTAAAAGCTCACCAAGAGGTAAATGAGCTGTACTTAGTGAGCTGCTCCATTCAAGGCAGAATTTCCCTTGTTTACAGTTAAGATGAAGAAGGATAGGGGAAAACAGAGAAAATAGCAGCCTCCTGCCAATATACAAGTGGGAAAGGCTCAGAAGCAATGGGGAAAATATCACACTGAGGCTTCTATAAAGAAGCCTCCATTTGGAATAGCTACAACCAGGAGCCACAATGAAGTTGCCAGTTGTAACAGAGCTTATTTGCAAATAAAATTCACCACAGAACCAAAAGTAAAATACAAAAATATTGAACAGATTCCCGCAGTATTAGGAGAAGTGTGAGGTAAGGTATCTGTTCACCTCAGCCACAAAATACAGCTTCAGAGACTGAACCAAGCCAAAAGGCTTTTTGTTATTGCGTTAAGATACTACAAAGAACAAATATTCCATCTGGCTTCAAAAGAAATTGGAAACTTTCTATTTTGCGCTGCTAACAAAGTATTTTTCAGGAACAGATTGTAGTAGCATAGACTTTGCATCCTATTTAAGTGTACACTATCACAGCCTGTGCTACAAGAGTGTAGCCAGCTCGAGAGAAGTATTAACCCTAGAGCCTAATTTCTATCTCAGTGCTTAGCTTCACCTAGCTGGACGCAGCACAAAGGTTACTGCCTACAGTATGTATAGAGATATATATATATGTGTGTGTATATATATATCACCACCCAGAAACACACACACGCACACACGCATTCGTACCTATAAAACTAAAGAAAAATCAGTACATACAATGTATAAAACGTATGAATGTGCTCAAAAACGCACAAAACCCGCTTTATTTTCATACTTCAGAAATGCTCAATAATTTGTATGCATGGTTCTGACTACTGCTATCCATCCACTTCATTAGACCAGGACTTGGAACTCGGAGGAGGAGTCGGTCAGAGATGCCACAGGGTGGAGAACTGCTCCTCTCGTTTCATACCACTGCTGCTGGAGCCAGGCACAGCAGAGAGCAGGATGGGGCGGTGGAACGGCTCCAGGAGAGGCTTCTACCAGTGCTTCCTCCCACTCGTGTGCCAGCAGCGCTCCCCAGAACTGTGATTCACGCTCTCCGATGGAGTCAGGGCTGTTTGCAAGTGTCTGCATGTCGAGACACCAGATACGACCTCAATAACAAAACTCACAGTTTCCTGTGCAAAACGAGTTGAATTGTCAAGACCAATCCCCAAGTACAGTATAAGCCTATAGGCAAGACAGGGAATAGAAAGTAGCAGCATATTCCATGGGGAAAGAGTCAGCTGCACTGGGAAAGCACAACAGTGGGTTAGGATTTGTCATACAAGTATGATTTCTCATCATTATTAGAAAAATAGATCACATACACACCCCCATGCAGTGTTTTCTTCCTGTCCCTCTAGGCTTGTACCCTTCATAAGGTAACAGGAGACCACTCACAAGAGGCATTCTTTACAAATTCCTTAAAATTCATCTCATCTGCTGACTGTTACAGTAAGTCGAGGAGAAGCAGAGGCAATGGGAGGATGGGAGAAAAGGGTAAACTATTTGTACACTGAAACTTAAATTTAAAATTGCCTGTAAAGATTATTTTGTACTCATTATCAAAACCAAGTGTTTGACTTTGGGTTTCATGAGGGATTGAATGAATCTTTGCCATCTGTAAATTAACTTAGCTTAAAGAGTTCAATACGAGGGGGAAATTTAAGATGACATATCAGACTGCAGCAAACTGCTTTATTGATTTAAGTACACTAACCTCATTATAACCCCTTGTGGGACCTGGATAAATGGTTTGGGGGGCACGGGGGAAATCTCTAGAACAGGGTTGGCTATTTATGGGACTGAGATAAGGAACAGGTGTCCAATTAGAATCAAACATCACCTACAGTACATGTTGATCACCATTTTTAAGTGGTATTTGTAGGACCGTAAGGAAGTGAAATGAAGGGGAGGGAACACACATGCTAAATATAGCATGCAATAAGTAAAGCAAGAACAGTGGTCTTTTATCCAGGCCAGTTTTGTGCAACCATTCACTGTAAAGAAGTTGAACTAGAAAGAAAATACTTCAATCTTCCTTATGGGATTGGAACAAACAGGGGCTTCATACAGTGAACTCAGGCTGCAACAAAGCTCCTCATCTCTTACCTAAAGTACTTCCTAACATATGTGAGGGTTCTACCAAAAGGACATCACACAGACCCAGTTTTCTTCATGGGCCAGAAGTTTATCCAACAATATGAGGTTTTGCAGTTACTGACAACAAATAACTAATTACAAATCCTGATTTTCTCAGTACCCACTTGCCACACATTTGTGTACACATTCCAGTTCCTCTGGTGCTCTGATCAAGGCAGATCAAAACCCCAAGTGTTTTACACAGTGTAACTCTTGATGGATGTGTCCCACTCCATAAAACAGGCCCCCAGCCCCCCTCCCCTGCAGCTCCATCTTCTCTGCTTGAACAAGGATTGCCCCACCCTTCTTTTCTGTTGTCTGTTTCCTGGGTCCAGTGGTATCCAGCCAAATCCAAGCAGCTTTTCTCTGATGTAGATTTTGATTCCTCTCAGGTTAAGGAAAAAGAAAAAAACAACCCAAACTACCCATACTTCTCACCTCCTCAGAAGTCAAAGGAATTCTCTGCTCTCCTTTCCATATACAATGGAAAAAAAGAGCAGTTGTACAATCCATATTTACAGGACAAATTGATTAGTGAATGAATAACGACAGCCAAAAAACGAGAGGCACGATCCTAATCTAGAACATAAAAGCAGTGTTTGAAAAACAAAGTGGAGATTCCTTCTGAAGTTCAAGCCACGGATTAGTGTTTGTCTGTGCAAACAGCTGCTAGAACTCTGAGCGGTGCTGGGCGTTTCACTCCTCTATACAATGGTGTTGAGGGAACAGTGACTGTGACGGCTGCCTGTCAAAGTTTCTGCTGGGGTGTTTTCATTTATGGGTGTGTCAGGAGGGACAAGAAAGGTGCTGCTGTCAGCAGAGTCTTCCAGCTCCACTGGAGAGGGACCAACTGAGGGAGGAAGCGATCCCTCTGTAAGCTGTGGGGATACATCACAGTTTCCTAGTGATGGAGGACTGCTTTGCACAGCCTGAGAAAGAACTCCATCTGCAAAGGACGAAAAAACAAGCAGAATCAGAACGTAAAGTTTATCATTTCACGTTCCCAAACAGGTTTATCATCTGTATTTCTGGAAGCTCTGAGTTTTTCCTGGTTTTGTGCTAATGCACAACAAGATGAGACTGCAAAAGAGGAAAACTGTGTAACAAAAATAAAACTTTGACATATAAATAAGATGCTTGCACTAATCAGGCTCACTTATCCTGTGAAATATGCTGCCATAAAATCCCAAATTGGAATGATTTCTACAGTATGTGAATATCACAGCTGCAAAACTGAAGAGCACTGGGTGAATCATTAGAAAGTGGTATTTTTGGTCAATTTTGGGGGGATGTGGGTGGGGGAAGAAGAGAGGAGAGAAGAGGCTGGATACATTTTATCCAAAATCTCTTGTACTTGACATTTGTTCTACTTCTTAATACCAAACTCAATCAACCTATCTTCAAAAGGCCAAAAATGGTATCAGCATGGTAGGAAAAAGGTAACCAGCTAATCCATCCAAGGTAAGACTCAAAAATAGGTAAGGTTTAAGAGGTAAACTGCTTACAGATTGGATTCCACTGCTAAATTAGGTGATTCAAAGAGCCTTTGAGAAAAACAAAGCTTAATGATACATTTTAACAAAAGACTTTTCCATCACAGAAATTGGAGATTTTTTTTGGTAAAATGTCTTTTCCCATCACAATTGTTAAAACACATGATTATAGCTTTAAAATATATATATATATATATATATATATATATATATATATCCTGTAGCCAAAATGAAAAAGTGAGAGAAAAGAGAAATTATTGCCTGCATACCTGGAGTGGAACAAAGGATGCTGTCTGGATTGACAGAAGCCTCGTAAGGAGGAGGTGGGTCATCAGGATGTTGAATATCTGGGTACTTGTAAGCAGTATAGGGTGGAGGGGGATCGTGAAAATGAAATGCTCCACCTTCCCCATCGTCTGAAAGATGCAGTGGAGTAAGGCCAGTTCCAAAACCATCGGGACCATAATCAAATCCAGGCATCCTGCGGCCCAAGTTGAAATGGTGCACTATTTCAAGAGAAGGGCAAGGAGTAAGTGACTTTATCTCGTGCTGTCTTCTTCAGTTTAAGTCAGATCTCAGCACTGTTTTCCACTTTTCACACCTCAGGAACTCATGTCTCCTGGAGACCTAGAAAAGTCTACATAACCCATCCAAGTCAACTTGCTGCAATTACACAATACCCAGGCCCACCTGCTCCCAGTCTATTTGTCCTGCATCACATCTAAATTTGACTCTAACCTCTTCAAACTACAGACTACTGTTCCCACAGAAGATATCTCAGATTAGGACGACATACAAACTCAAATATTTTTCCATTATCCACTACGAAAGTTCAAGTTTGAAGAGCCCACCAAGACACAGGCACAGTCAAGCAAGACAGTGACATTTCTCCCTTTTACATGCACCAATGTGTCAATAATAAGCACAAGGTGAGAGCTGATACTCACAATTTGCTCCAATCAAAGACTCTATGCGCTCTCTCCGCCTCTGGCGCAGCCGATGGACCATGAAGAGCAGCAGAGAGAGGATGAGGAAGGAGGAGATGCAGCTCACAATCAGGCGCATTCCACCGGCCATTGAGTCAAACAGGCTGTTGCCATCTGTTACATAAAACATATAAAAACAGCCTGTTATTTTTGTTCAAGATTCACTTTTCTTGATGTTCTTCTGTCAGTAACGGAGAGATAAACGTAGAGTGGAGATTCATTAGCCTGGTTTAACACTTCTCCATGTTTCAAATTTAAAAGAAAATCATGAATCATCAGGTGATTTATCTTTTTACTGCAAGAAGATCTGAAAGTTTCTAAGAATATCTTCCTCAGGCAAAGGGGAAAAACGTTGAAGGCTTCAGGCCTCCAAAAACTGGAAAAAAGAAAGATTTTGCACATCCACTTGTTTCCCTTGTATGGCTGATGATATTATACTAAAGAGGAAAAGGCTTGAGAACTGACATATCTATACACTATCTAACTTCTGAATAGCCTTACACTCCCATTTCCACTAAAAAAATCTCTGAACATAGTCACATATGGGTGACAATGACAATCTAAATTCCACATGACACCAGTACATTGGTTAGCACCACTAAGTGATAGGAACATGGTAATTATCACTCAGGAACTGAAGAGATTAAGGTGAATGGGAAACCTTTTCCTAGAGTCATACTAAAAGCAAGTGGCAGAACAAGAAGCAGACCCAGGAGCTCAGAACTTGGAGTAATCCCATTGCTAACCAGATCCACACTGGGAAGGCTGCTGTGAACAAACTACCACTGTACTCCTTGTGCACCAGGCACAAGAGACATTAATTTTTCACAATTCAACTAATCACACTTGGTTATGCTTAAGCACACAAGCACACACAGGTACTCTACACAAAGAAAAATGACCTAAAGATGATGTACTGTGTTCTTTGCACCCATTTCCCATTAAAGAGTTCTGAATGAGAAACACACCCAGGTTAGGGGTGGGTAAGAAACAGATGGGGTGGCCTCAGAACGTGGCCACCTGCTGCTGCAGGACAAAAGCACTAGCAGGGATGGCCCCTCTTCCCAGTCACTGCAGGGCCACTTCCCAGAGGAACCAGCCAGGTCCTGGCCACCTCTTTCCTACACCCACTCCAGCTGCAAGAGCTCCCTCCATACTTTCCCTTCCACTACCAGCAACTGAAGCTTTATCAAAGTTTCCTTATAAAAGAAGGCTAAAAGCCTCGCAAAAAAATTAAGTATTAGTTGCTACACATGCTAGTAACAGAAGAATCCACCTCATTTATATTGTTCCAGTACATGGCTAACAGGCTGGCATTCATTATGTAACGCCTTCTTGGCAACAAGGAATTCATTTAATAGTGCACTACGCATAAAGCTCGAACATTACACCCTCTCAGATCCGGCTGTGCAGCACAAAAGCCTGGGTGCTGTCAAACCTTTTAGCAACTATCGCTGACAGAGCTTCAAGTGCTGCAGTCACACACCTCCCAACCAGCACAGCCTCCTGAACACCACAGACCTGCCCCTGCACTCCTCCATCTTATGGCAATGCTGACTCCATGATCAGTGTAGAACAGTCAAGGCTGTCAGTAACAATGAAGTGCTTTTAGTAAAATATCCATGTAGGTGCAGAGGGCCAGAGAAGCTGACTTTAGTTGTGGGATGGATTCTGATGGTGCATCCCCCCTCTGCAGGCTGCCCTATGGTCTGAGAAATGCTCATTGGACTTCAGCCTTGATGAGCTGCACTTGGACTAAACCCTCCTGAGCTTAGCAGAAACACTGTCTGTTCCCAGGAACTAACAGGTGTCTAATGAACACCTTTCTTTTAATAGACAGCCCTGGAAACTATTTTTTCTTGCCTGAATAACAATCTACTTGGAGTGGTATTTTTGTTATTGCACCTTCAAAGAAAGTTACTGACTCCAAATGTAGCCAGGATGGAAAATTACTACAACTAGAGCCCATTCTCTTGTGACTCTATAAACAGCAGTCCAGAGTGAGATCCTTTTGATCTCTCAGTTCCCAGATAAGGGGATACACTCACGTGTATGTCTCAAACGCCAACAACAGGTGGCTGTGGAGCCAACCAAGGACTGTTAGTAATAACAGAGGAGAACTGTTGTTAATAACCAAGGACTACTGGTATTAACATGCCATGAGAAAGAACAAGATTTGTCTGGAGAAAGGAGGTCAGGTGGAGATAGGGCAGCACTTTTCTGTGAGGAAAAACCACATCACAGTACAGTGCAGGTGCAAGAATGAGAGGCAGGAAGTGGGCATGGACTCTAGGGAGGGATTGAGACCAGCAAAGACACCTGAAGCCCACATAAATACAAAACAAATTATTTCAGAAAACTTGTTTTTACCCTCAGTATAGTAGTGCCCTGTAACTGCACCAATTCAGTCACTAGAAAAGCTTTGGCACATTAGCTCTTTCCAAGTATTCTATTTCTTCTACTACTTTTTCACAGTTGTAGGTCTGTCTAAACAAGAGCCACAACAGAAAAATTATTTTCTACCACAACACAGAGCAGCAATATACAGACTACCTTGGTTTCAAAATATTCCTCTGCTATTTATCTTTGGCTAAGTGAGGAGAAGCATCTTTGAAACTACTATAGCTGTGACTGCTCAGCTTACTCCTACCTCTGAAAAATCCCCCTACTAACAAGTCCTTGAGTAATATTTGTTACCACTTGTAATCATTGCTCACCCACTCACTCTGCAAGAGCTGATTACCTGCCAAACCAAACAGCAGGATTTATTTCCCCCAGGTCTCTCCCTGGGTGATTAATTTACTTACTGTTGATTAGTAAACTGTTTTCTTTCCTTTGCAACAGAACTTAGGGAAGATACATGAAAGAATTGGATGGAGATAAATACATGCTGATTAAAGAAAGTAATTAATTAATTTTTGTCATCTGGAATAGTCATTTATAACCACCCAGAAGGAAAACTGAAATATTTAATTTAAAATTTTCAGTGTTTATCACTAGCTAAAGTAACTGCATGATGAAAGAAGTTGGATGACTGCTTGATAATTCCTCTCTAAAAAATTAAGTTACTGAAAAATCCACCAGAACACTTCAAGCAAGAGTATAATGAAGCAGTCTCATTTAGCATCAATACAGGAAAAGAGCTTAAGGATGAGAAAGGATGTGGTAAAATACACTCTTCAAATCAGTATTCATGAAATAGTTAAGATCCACAGCAATAAACAAGGATTAAAGAACACGACACGAGGTTATCCCAGGTCATCTTATCCTGTCTGCTGGGTGATGCTTTGCTGACACTGTTCCTGAAGATAAAAAAAGTGAAGCCTAAGTCTTAACTCAGCTGATAAGAGTGGGAGGAAGACTCCTGCTTTTCCCCACTCTTTCACTGACAGACCTACCACACTTGCTGCAAACATCTGTTAAGCTTAACCATCAGAACAAACGCGACACAAGGAGAGCCAGTGGCCTTTAATGATTAATTTCTCTAGTTAGGAAAAGTAAGACTGCAAATTTGGAACACAATAAGCACCCCTTTATTTGTAACAGATTGAAATAGAAGCATCTGATAGGAAGAGTTGACCTTCTCTGTTTTCTAGAGGAGTTCAGAACAACAGCTTCTTAATGCACTCAGATTAGATTAGGTTCTTTTCAAATATCAAAAAACACAGTATCACAAAATGGTTAAAGGGAACATCCTGAGATCACCTAGTCCAACCCCTGTTCAAGCAGCATCACCTAGAGCAGGTTGTGCAGGACAGAGTCCAATAAGACACCGAATATCTGCACAGGTGATTCCACAGTCAATATGCTCCAGCATCTGACCACCCTCACAATAAACTCCAAGTAAGCTACATTTCCTTTCTGTACAGGAAAATAACCTCCCCAAAATCTGCACCCCAAAACAGTGACTGACAAACAGTTCAAAGTCAACTTCATTGACTTGATTGACCTGAAACAAAAACTTGCACTGATATGCCAAATCAAATAACCAAGATTGCAGGTCCTGATTATTATTGAAACTGTATATAATTTTAAAACTCTGCTTCCCACATGATCCCTGCATGAAAACTTCCACACACATAAATATGCTCATCACCAGAAAAAGATGCTTAATTAATGCTCAAGAGAAAAGTGCTTTGTTTTCATGACAACTAAACATGACAAAGGAAATGTACCAGATGCTCTACTAAAAACCCACACTATTATCTCTCTCCAAACTGAAAATAAACTACTGCTTCTCCTTTCTAAGAAGCATCAGGGATAACTCATTTTTACCAGCCACAGCCTGAAGTGTTTCCTTTCTCATGATTTGAGACCTTTCCCCACGGGGTGGTTGTACCCAGCAATGTAGAGGCACTGCAAGGATGTGCTGTTTCAAACAAAGCTATACCCAAAGATACCCAAGTTGAGCACTCAACTACTTTTTACTGACAAAACTGTAACAATAGAGTCTTACCTGGGTCTAAGCAGGTAAATTTGCAGCACTCCTTGGGGTCCTTGCGATACTGCTGACAGCCCTGGGGCCGCTCACACAGAGCAGCCACACACATCTCAGGTTCACCGTTGTGACACGTGCAGCTCAAACAGGGATCATTCCCTTTGGGAGTGAAATAGTAGCCTTCATCAACAATGTTGTCTTTGATATCAACACAAGTCTGGCCTAGGAAAGAAAAGCACATCAGTAACCACAGAATCCAGATTAATTTGTTGCATTAAGTGATTTGTAAACATAAACAGACCACCAGTTAAAATCCAGGCCTTCACATTAAAGAACTTGGAAAAGGGATCTCCAGGGAGTGGGAAAGATAATGGATGGTCTCCAGGGACACAGAGACGATTTTCAGCTCACTGACAAGGTGAATTTTAGGTATTTAATGGAACTGACATAATTCCAAGCATCCTCTCCAAGACAGAGGAAGGCTGAGAAGCTTAACCTTCACTGCCAAAGCCTGCTGCAGCTCCCTTCCTCTTTCCTGGTATTAGGAAAAGCTGGATCTTTTCTAGACCAAATCTGAAGGCCTTTGAACAGGCCAGGACTTAAAAAGAAAGGCAGGCAACAGTACTTCCACTGTCTTAGCAGCATCCTGATCCCTGCCTAGCAAGGGAAGTTTAGCTGCATTTTGCCCACTGACCTAAAGGCAGGTGCCAAAACCAGAGAGAGCAAACAGTGCTGGGACCTGGCAGAGGGAACAACTGCTCAGGGAGGATGGCCTGTCCCCTCCACCCTATGCACAGGTCAGCTGGCACGGTCCACAGGGAAGGTAAGACTGGAAGAGAGCTGAGGAGGTCTCCAGCTCAACCTCTGACCAAAGCAGGGTCAGCCATGACATCCCAATGGGCTGCTCAGGGTTTTATCTAACCTGGTCATAAAAACCTCTGAGGACAGAGGCCGCACAACTTCCCTGGCACTCAGTTGCACCCTTTATGACCCTCAAGTTAAACACCTTTTCTCCATGCAATGAAGCACCATCTAGATCAGGTAACGTTTAAGATTACCTGATAATACTGCAAATACCTCTGTTGGTATCAAGGGTTTTTGGAGTACAAGAATGAAAGATACAGAACAAAAGCCTTTTTTTCCCACCTTTAAGTCAGTGACCTCCACTTATCTTCACATTCTAGTTCTAAAAGCTGACTGGAAAGAATTTAGTAGAATTTGCTATACTCTATATAAACCAGAAATAAGCGTTTCCTCATTTTAATGTAAAATTAATAACTTCAGAGCAATGTTTACTAATAAGGTATTTTAAAAACAAACCAACCAACAAAAAACTTTTTTTGCCCAAATTTATTTTGGGGCTGATACTGCTGCCTAATGATTTTTCTGTAAAACTCTGTACTGTGTGACAGCCACACATTATGATGCTCTTCTTCATTAAAAACAAGCAGAAATATAACTCCACCCTTTTTTTTCTAATTCACTGGGCAAAAATTAGAAAGGGTAATGAAAAAATTTCCAGTTACTTATTATATGCATATTTAAACACACAACACAGTTAAGACTTACTCCTTTTGCAGAGGAATGAAGATTTCTCATAGCAGTTTTCAGCATACCAGCTGTGTAAACCATGGTGCCGGAGGGTAGGAAAATGGAAACACTGGAGCTGAGCACAAAGAACGTTTTCCTTTTCAGACATAGCCGTACCAAAGATAGGGTCAGGGGGTAAAAACACTTCTGAAGAGCCTGGAATGAGATACATTGGCATAAGCAGCCTATGGGTATGCAAAGCTCTAGAGAGGCTCTGTAACATCACTCATTCCATGCACAACAACTCCAATACAAAGAGTCCTCCAGCTTCAGCTCCCATTAGCAACGCTGCTCTGGGGAAAGGCAAACAGCTGGGAGGGAAGGGGTGACTCACACAGAAAAGAGGCTGCTGTTTTCAAAGTACTGGGTAATTCTGTCACTCTGAACCAGGAGAAGTGGTACTCCAACATCACCAGTGCTGCTTCACACAGCCCCAGGGGGTTTGCCTGACAATAGTTATACACCTCCTCAAACCACGCTCAGCTTGGTCACAGTTGCTACCAGTGGAGCAAGAACCCACACAGCAATCTTGTGCCTGACACTCCATGCATCCTCCAAAGTGCTTCCAAAGATGTGCATCCACCTGTGCAGCCCCCACAGAGCCCTTCCATGCTTGGGGGGGATGCACCAAGGCATCCACAGTTTGGTCCTTTCAACTCATGAAACAGCATCCTGATCATCTCCAAACAGTGCAAAAGGTACTGAGGGCATTTTCTGGAGGGCTTATGTTCCACATGTCACAACAATAAATTAAAATTTTCAAGCTATGGAACCCTAAATCACTTTTCAAACAGGTATTAGGAATTCAGTCTGCCTCAATACAAGCCTAAAAAGAAATTTTCACAAACTACTGAATGTAACTATGTACTTTATTTCATAGAGGCATCTCTTTATTGAATATAAAGCTTGAAAACAGAAGATTATTTAGTACTGAGAAGGTTTAAATTTATATAATGCATCAAATTAAATAAAACTAGTGAGAAAGTTATGATTTTCCTGTAATTCATGCCTCCCTGTTGCGACCACTCCGTCAGCAGATGGCAGTGCAGTCAGCTTTCCAAAAAGCAAAGAAAGGTCCTCTTAAGGAGAATCTTTGTATTCATGTGTCAAAGGAAGTATTTTTCAAGACCAAACTGTTTGAAAATTCTGATCATAATTATGTGTCTGTACCTAAAGGAAAGTTCTTCTTATAGATTTTCCATGGATACTGCAAACTATGCATGAGAAAAAAAACTATTCAGATTAGTTTTCAAATGCTACACTGGAACTCAGTGCAGATACTTTAAAAAACACCTGTTACAAACTTTCCATCACCTAAACCAGTGTAGGAATTAGACAGGCAACTGTACACATAAGAGTTCTATGATGACTTTAACTAAACTCTCAACTGAATTAGCTAAAAATAAAATGCATAGAAGCATAACTTTGTATTTTCAGCAGAGGGAGCTGCTTGTTTTGCAATTGAAAGGGTTTAGCCAATGATGCCCATCAAATTAATATTCAGTTTTTCATATAAAATGAGATATATTTCTGGGATTATGCAAATTCTGACATAACTTTAGTAAACTATCTGAGATACTTTAAAAAGAAAAAATCTGTGTAAATTCTGCAAAATTCAAGTGTACTGTTTTAGTATATAAAATTCTACCAATTTCTAAAAAGTTAAAACTTTCAAACATGCTTCACTGGTCTGCAAATACTAGAACCAGGAATCAGCAGTTCATCTAAACACCACAAAGAAGGAGAAATTACAGAGTAGTTTCCCATCTCTCAGCTTAATCAAGGGGAAAGCCCAAATAAACTGACACATGTTCTTTCCATGCCAGTGTGAAAACCCATAAAACTTCTTAAACTTTAAAATAAGATGTGTGTTTAGTATTAAACTCTTCCACTTCTGCCCTATAAAGAGAAGCAGTTCACCTACACTATTTCAATACTATCAGTGAAAGAATTCATGTTGTTCTTGCAAATCATATTCATGCTTTAATACAATTTCCATGGGCACTGAACTAAGCAGTAATTTGAGAGACTCACCTTTATAAGCTACTTCCCAGTGACCTTCCAGAGAGTGATTTCGATTGGTGATCACATACTGATATCCCACCCAGAACCTCCAAAACAAAAAATTAAATTACATTCTAAAGATACAGGCCAAAACCACAGTAACAAATTAAATTACACAGAACCTTCTAATGTCTTCATATGCAAAAGCTAACTTTCAAAACATTCTGATGACTTTTTTCCTTATCTTTCTGGCCCATACATTGGCCATGTAGAGAGACTACAGTTGAGGAACAGAGGAAAATACTTGATAAAATATTTGGTGATTTTCTAGGTTTACAAATTATAACTGACTGTGTCTTTTATTTCTACTCATAAGCAGCACCTTATTCTGTTGTCATGGCAGCACATCAGTATCTCAAACCCAAAAATCACACAAGCAGCATCCAGAAGTCAAGTATCTCTGAACACAAATAACTTAGGTCAGACTGTTCTGGATCAAACCATTGAACTCTCCAGAGACAGAAATACACCATTACTCAGCCACTCCTGGTGACCTGTCATGGCAGCCCGTGAGTGACAAAAATCCTACACGTAGAAAAAGAAGGAATTGTTTGTTGTGAACTAACAGAATGAAATGTCTAAAGCTACCCAAACATGGTAGGTGCAACTCAAAATACCTTTTTACTTTATTCCTATCTCAAAGTTGCTCTTTTAGAGCAACTGTTAGAGCTACAGGAACTTAATGGAAATCAAAATCTTGTTGAAAAATTTAAATAATTATTTCTGTACAAGGTAGTGCAGCAGTAGTCATTGTTAAATCCACCTTCCCTGACACAGTTCAAGAATACCTGTACATTGCTAAGATAAGCTGAAGGTAAGAAGACTGCTGATAAAGAGACTCTGCTGAATTGAATTATCTGCTAATATTAATTAAAACATAAAATGGAGATGGTGCATTGCCAATCAGCCAACCAGCACATTCATACTGGGTTATTCACCTGATGTCAATTCTGCCATTAGATTTTCTACACAAACTGAACCACCAGTATTTGTACCACACAGAAACCATTCTTTGTAATGTGAGATCTTTGTCCTTTTCTTCCTACTCACCTACGCTGGTCCTTCCTTACAAATGTTTTTTCTTCCAAGTCCCACTCCTGTGCCAGGATGAACCTCAGCTCCTGGTCTGCAGTGAAGGTGGCGAGGGATCCGTTCACCCGCTGACATGTCTGCACAGCGTCCCAGTAGTTCTCCCCATTTAAATACACCTTGTAACAGCTGGCTGTGCCCTCATAGTGGTGCCATCCTGTTGGGCACTTTCCTAGGAAACATGAAGAATAGAAGGGAAACCATTCCCCCCAAATTAGGATCTTTAAGATAATGCATCCTAATCAATAATCACTGGGATGTGTACACACAACAGTGTGTACACTTCACCTCTGGAGGAGGAGGTGCACATATTACAGATCTCTAAAGATTTACTTTACTACAGTTTCTGATAAATGTTGATATTTTTTTTACATGTTTTTAAAAAGATGAAGCTCCTACTAAAGTTCCATCACATTGTCACAGCCTTTAAAATTTTAAATTAAGACTGACCATCTACTGCGGAAGACATTTCCCTGCACATCTGTATAAAACAAACTTGATCAATCCAAGCAAAAACAAGCAGTACAAAAACCCCAGAGGTAGCCAATTTAATGATTGTGTCTTTCTATTAGGTAATTATCAATACATAAAACTTATTGTGAAGTTTTCAAGCTACTCTAACAGTCTCAACAGTATTCACATAATCCTGCTCCCAGAGTCAATCTCTGAAGATGACAGAAGCTCTGGGGAAATTCTTGATTGCTTTGGAAAAAGCATCACTGTAAAGCAGATCTTTAGGAAGTAAGAAGGTGATGGTGTGAACTGCTGTTTCTGCTTTCTCTCAACTCAGCTGAGGGAACTTGAAATAAAAGCCTCGAGGCATTTCTGGATGAAACAGGCCCATGCGCTTTTGACCAACATTCCTGGAGGTGATGGGTTCTTAACAGAGGGAATCATAGGACAGGAGGATGACATTTAAAATAGATGTGAAATATGATTTTAGCACCTGCATCTGCCCTATTAATTTTGCATTACCTAAGAAACTTAAAATTCAGAAACTGTTTTCTGTTCATTGCAATTCACAGTTCTGATCTCAAGCCTCTTTATTCTGTTTTCTGTAACTGCAATGAGTTGTAACAGAAAATTGCAACTCTGTTTTCACAAAAAGAGGATTAATAGGGACATAGCATTCTTTGCATGTCCTGGTCTACTACATAAACCATGCAGGACAGATATAAAAGAAATGCACAAACACTTGAAATAGCACCACATGTCAAAGTTTGGTCAAAAAGCTATGCAAGAGCTTTTTCATTTAAAAATAGCCTAAATTTCTAAATTAATTAGCAGAAAGATGGCCCAGATTTTCCAGTCTGCAACTTACTGCTAAAGCGGACAGGCTGTGCCACATTGACGGTGTGGAAGCGGGTGGTCTCTCCTCCTCTCCCTCGATTGTGCCTTGAGTCCACATTCTCCTTCCCATGGTAAGTTCGCTGGTCCCCTGTCAAGCCTGGGGACCAGGAGGAATAGTTAGTAGTGGTGAAAGATGCAAGCAAAGGCAGATTTCATTTTATTAAACTTTCTCTGGGCTTTAATTCAAGACATATGTGATACATGACTCGGGTAAGCAAAGGTGGCAGGTTCCTTCAATAACAGCTTGGCCATTTTACTCAGCAGGTAACTGAAATACCTTCAACTGAAAAGAACCAACAAGCCATTACATGAGTCGTGCAGGGTAAACTAAGTATTTTGGGAGATTCTCACCAGCCTGCAATTGTACACAGGACCTGCTGCTCATCATTTCAACTGCTGCAGCAAATGCATCATCCCCATTGTATCTGCTCCTGTTTACAGAACTACCCACTCTCCAGCTGCTTTGTTCCTCAGCTGTGTTCAAGGACATAAGACAACTCCTCCAATACATTTTCCAACACATGCTCTGAGATGTAGGATGTAATTAAAACCAGGAAAGGAGACACAGCTTCAGCCAGAAGAACGAAGCTTTTTTATTCACTCTCAAGCTTCTAAAGGAAAAGTTAGTTGATGACTTCTGAAATAAACCCCCACACCCCCTCATCTCAGTGTCAGGGTTAACAGGTGTACATGACAACTGGATTCAGTAAGTTAGGACAGTGTAAGGTGTTATTCAAGAAAAGGGACTAGAGGGCTCCATGTGCCTACCAGGAGTAAATAAGGAACACCCAATTCAGGTGGAGGCAATGCAGGGTGGGCCATAGCCAGCAAAACCGGCAGGTTTCTAAGCAGGAAGGCTGGCACAGTAGTGGGGAGAAACCATAGAGAAGAATGGAGATGGGCACCAAGAAAGATTATTGTGGAAACAACGGATTAACCTTAAAAAAAGAAAAACTAAAAACCCAAGAGTGTAAGTGTTGTAAGTACCTACTTGTAAGTTACCTACTACTACTAGATGTTATAGAAGGTAATAGGGTTTAACCAGCACAGAACTATGTAGATATTCATTTCTATATAAAAAATTTGCTTATTTTCCTTTAAAGCTGATTAGGTCCATTTAGCCTTCCTAAACCAAACAAAGTCATGATCCCAAATAAAAGAAGCTACACAGTCTTCCTCAACAGTCTTGTTTAACTACATCTGTTTGAAATATATACAAAACCACGTCAATAGAACCTTCTCTTTTTGGACTATCTTTGGAAAGCAAGAGGTCCACGGCAATTTCATGGTAATTTAACAGTTGCAGGATGTTCAGTGCATTACCTGGGGAAAGACCTCCACAAGACCCAACATCAAACAGTGCACTCCTTGGAACAAATGTAGGCACTGATGAGCAAAAAAAAATCCCTAGCTGGAGCTCAGGAACAGCAGAGTCGCTTTGCATTCATCTGGCTCTAGCATACTGAGTTTGCCCTGGGTTAATGGGATAAGCAAGGACTATTTAATTATCACGTTATCCTAGGAATTACATGTCTACAGAGATCACCCATTAAGGAATGGCTGTGCATAATACACTCGCATGGCCTTACAGGAATAAAGCAGCTATCTAAGAATATGCTATCTATCACAGGCAAGAAGTCAGTGCCAAGAAATTCAGACAGTGTTCATTTCAAAGGAAACAAAATGGTAAAATAATTTGACAGTGAAGATTACTGATTTTTTATTACTTTAAAGGCTAATCTATTTTTAGTTTTAGAATCTGTTTTTAATCCTAATGGTTCAGTAGCACTATTTACACTGTGATTTTCAGAGTGATACTGAGACACTAAAAAATCAAATCTTCAATTATAGCAAGACTTTAAAAATAACACTAACTAATGTGGAATGCTTTATCAAGTTCTACTGAGCTCAGCATGGGGAGCTCTATTTTCCCATGGCATTAAGTGGTAACAGCTAAACCTAAAGAACCAGTCAGAACCAAACACATGAAGAATCAATTCCCTTTCAGAAGTGAGAGCAGATGCAGCACCATATGGCTGACCCTCCACAGCTAAACAGAACGCCCACGAGGACTTAACAATTTATCTCCCACAGGAATAAAACAAAAGTTCACAGGCTTTAACATGCAAGGTTAAGGAAGGGTTACACAGGTTAACATCATAAATTAACAGAATTTATGTCAGATGCTTTGAAAAATAGCTACACAGATCCCACACAAAGAGAGTTCCATCAGTCCGCACCCAGGAAGCAGAACTCATTCCTTCCTCAGCATCAGCTCTTGTCAGCAGATTCGCTGCAGAAACCAGGACTGAAGTGGCACAAAGCATCCACCACAAGTCACTTCTTCAAGTCCGGTGCTGTCTGCTGCTTAATAAACTGGGAGCTCTTCAAATATTAAATTGCTTCTATTTGACCTGAATATCTGTCTCCCAAGAAAAGCATCGATGACAACTTTTTCCAGGGCAATAAAGACACGCTAACAAGCCTCTAAGTCACTTGACTGCCATGAAAAGCTGTTGCAGATTCTGGTGGCAAAGGTGTAATTGGACTGGTTTTCTATTTAGCTTTTACAATACTCTGCAGTAGAATTTTCCATGTACTTTGCTGTCCCTACTTCCTTTTTACAAATAATTTTATCTTTAAAAATAGAGTACCATGGACTCGTCTTTAGATAACAACTCAGAAGATCAGAACCTAACCATGTTTGAGTGTTTCACAAAGAAAAGGCCATAATTTCCAGTGCTTACATGCACACTTCATATACTGAAAGCAATGCCATTTCAGAAAATCAGTTATATTCCAAGATCTTTATTCTTCTAAATACTACAACCACAGGCAATAACAGCAACAGTGGTATTTTCACTAGCCAAGAAAGATATAGATCTATTTCTTTGACTTTATATAATTACTCCAGAAATGTCATTTGCTGGCTAGTTGGTGCAGAAAATGAACTCATGGGGCACTATTTTTTTTCACCCTTCGAATATTAGTGTGGTGAACACAGGCATCCTCCAATCTGTTTCCCAATGGATCAGGTCACGATTAGTATTCACCCAGCTCCTTCCAATTTAGAGTTGCTATCTAATTCAGTCCAGCACAATTATAGTCTTACTATAGGGCTATACATCAAGAGAAAGTTGTCCAACAGTGGTGATTCTGTGGCTATTTTCAGTTATTTAAAACTTGAAGCAACCAATTCAGAATGGAAGTTTGCCATGCTGACGGCTCCTTCTACCTTTTGGAAAACTTGTGTCACACATGTCAAGTCACTCAAGCAAAATCCTTCACAAGGATGGATGTACTATGTCAAATGATGCCAAAATTAAACTGCTTGTGAAGCAACCAGACCTTGCCATATCTTATTAGTACCAAGATTTGAGTTGCTCCTGTTTAAACACACAGATTCTGAACATTTACATAAAAGCTGCCTTGTCTCCTAAGCTTCAAATTTTCTGTCCAGCATATTCCCTCCTGAAAGCTTAGAAAGCTTCTAATTCCATCTGGTAATTTGAGAGGTGAGAGAACTTCAAGATTAAGTCCAGTTTTGTCCCTCGGTATTTGGAAATATAGTTCAGAAGCTCCTAGAGAGGAATGACTCTTCTCAGATCAAGCAGCTCCATGCTGTGTGTTATCAACTGTATTGTGCTAGGATATCAATGCCAAGCAAGAACAGCATCCTGCTGTGCTGAGTGCTATTCAAGGTAATGGACTGGCAGAAAACAGCTTATAATTTAAACATCACGAGGGAAGGTAAAAAAAATAGGAGTTCAGGAAGGGCTCAAGAAAGGTGTGGAAATGCTTAGAGGTTTTTATCATTAATACCTAGCTTTTAAAAAGGAGATGTACTAAGAAGTGCACAAATGTCAAGAGTCACTTCAACCATACAAAATATCCTTGGTGAAACAAAACACAAAGCTGTTTTTGATCACAGGTTGCTGCAGCTGCTGCTTCATCAGAAGGGAAAGATGTAAAACTGATATGGATAGGATTTATGAAGGGCACTCAAATTTAAGACATCCATTTTCATTCATAGTCAACAGAAAAAAAAAAAAAATCAAACCTGCAGTTTGGGAGGAAAACACAGCCAGAGCTATACTAAACCCTGCTCTGCTCAGCCTCCTGACAATGAGTTAAACCAGAAGGCCTGCAAAGAAGGTAGGATATCTGCAGAAGCTGATCTGATATTCTGGTAGAAGCAAAGCTGGAAATCCAATAAGCAGTAAAAGGTAAACTGCAGATCCCTTCCCTCTTACAGGTTTAAATGCAGAACTTTGATAAAGGTGAAAAAATTGTTTGTACTTCGCTTGTGTAGAAACATGAGAGAAAGTGATTAGTAATAATAAATTCCCATTTGTAAAAGTCCTTGTTTAAGATATTAATGCCTGTTTCTACCAGTTCATAGAATACATCACTTTGGTGTATTCTAAATATTGACCACTTTGGTCTATTCTATGTACTCTAAATCCTATTTTTCAGATCAATTACTGTTGACATGGAAAAGTCCACAAATTTCTTTAAGCTACACTGCTTAAGTCACAGGCACATGCTACATAACAAACCTTCCCAGAACTTTTAGTATTGCTCACAAAAGCAAGCAGCCACTGCTTTTAGTCTATCAGAGAGATGAACTGAGGGTAATCACTGCTGCAGATTCCACTGACACATGGTGCATAGTGGGAAGGGCAGGGGAACAGTACTTTACACATGACAAATTTGGGACTGAAAGGAATTCCATGTTTTAAAGGAAAAAGGTCATCGTGACAAGAGACAGTAAGAATAAAAACAGCTATAATGACAACCTTCAGAGAAATAAAGCAAAAAATAAGCATCTTACACACTTGTTCAGATTGTCAATGAATGAAATGTCTTACTTATTTGTGTTCTGAAAAAAAATGCCAGAAGAAATTCAAACAAAAAGCCTTACAATTTGGAATGTTTCTTGTACTTCAGCCAATACATGATTACCAAACTAATTTATTAATTATGGATCCTCTTCTTTTAATAGGACCTTTGTTATTAACACAAATGAAGTTAAGCCTAAAAAAGGTGAACCAACAGTGGCAAACAACTTACAATGGCTTTGTAATAAACCTTTTGAAACACCAACATGACTAAGTAGTCACTGAAACACACTTAACAGCACCACAAAACCCTAATTCACTGCACTGATCTCTTCCGAGTTGTTCATTTGGAGTGTGCCATTAGTGGCTCAAAGGCTGAGGATTAACAAGCTTCCCAACTAGGATTCAGGGCCCTTTCTTGCAAGTTTTCTTTTCATGCTTCAGAGAGTTTTCATGCCTTTTAATTTAAATACACTGTAATTCTCCAAGTTTCACAAGTCCAGGTGGCTTCACTAACTAGCTCTTTTAGTGTTCAGCCTTGCCTTTATTGAAGGGAAGAACTTTTAATTAAAGTATTTACATTTAGCTGAATCACCACACAACTGCTCATCTAATCCAAAGGTATTTTCTAATTTTAAAGCTGCATCATTTCTTGTTAATTCAGTGGCCAAAGAAGAAAGTTGCCACTCCTGAGTATGACTGTTACTATTATTAGTAGCATTATCTCCACAATCAGTGTCCCAAGACAGTCTCTCCTGTGACTTGTCACGTATGTATTGCTTTCCTCAACACAAGCACACTGCTCATCCAAACGGATTCTGCCCTCAGGTTTACTTTCATTGATGCTACTCCTCTTTATGCTCCAGCACAGCATTCCCATGCACACCAACCTCTCCTTATTCTTGACAGCTCTGAATAACACCTACCCTTCAACACCCATTGCAGGTCACGATGCAATCCCACCAAGTTTTTTGTTACAAGCAGAATCGTTTTTACATCCTACACCAGTAGTTCTTGTTCCTCTGGTTTGCTGGCTGCACTCCTCGCATTACTGTGCAAATATCTCAGTTCTTTCACAAACACCACACCTCCTCTCTGGCTGTTTTACTGAGCACAGCCTTTTCACCAATTACTTATCTAATTACTCCTCTCATCAAGTGAATACTTTCCTTCTCTCTGCTGTCCAGCATTTTTCCCTTTGGTATTTACAGATGTTATTCTTCTCTTCCTGTACACAGACATGGTGGTGAATCAAGTCTCTCCCACATTTCCTTTCTTTAACCTTCAAGTTCTTCATCATGTCAGTCTAGACAGTCCAGTGAGACCTGCACCCCGAACACAACACCAGAACCTATGTATTGAGAAATGTTACTCCCATATAATCCTCCTCCTATCCATATACCAAACATTCTTTGGAACTCCAGTCCTTCGTCAACACCATCCTGGTGCATATTCCAGGCAACAACTTAAGTTGCTGACTAATACATTAGGAACAGAAGACAAAAATAGTTTTCTACTAATGTGGAAGTTCAACTGTTCCCACAAGCAGTCTTCAGTGCTTTTTGAGTAAATCTGAATAAGAACACGACTCTGCCTTCCCCCAGACACTGAATTCCATTATACCCCAGAATTTTATTAAGTCCATAGCTTTTTTCACATTTGGCCAAAGTTAGCTAAAAAGGAAGAATAACAGCACAGATATAAAAGCAATTTACTTTAGGACATCCACATTGTAAAGAATATCCTTAAACAGACTATCAATGGCACAGCTTAATTTTCAATGTCAGAAAAAACTACTGACTGTTCTTCCCCTTTGCTGCACATTCACACACACAAACTAACAAAAATTTTTCTTAAAAGAGCACTGACATTCTTTTAATTATTTTTCCATAGTACTCACTGGAGAGAAGGCTAGCTCTAGCACAGTTTCAAAGCTTGTGTGTTAGATTTATTTCTCTAATTCCTTTATATAATATGAATATCTAAAAGTTTGTTGCCATAAAACATCAATGTTATTATTTTGTAGCACCTCTAAAATAGCTAGGGACTCAGAATGATGACAGACTGAATGCTGTTAAGGCAATGACACAGAGTTCACGTGATTCTCTGCCAAGAAAATTAAGTAGTTCACTGGCAAAGAGCTTCTTGAAACAGTTTTTTAATGTAATTTAGTCATTCTGTAAAGATAATTTTGAATTGTGTCACAGTTGAATTCATGCTTTCAGATACCTGTCTCATTGCTCTCAACAGAAAAAAAAAAAATACAGGCCACTTCACTCTTAAGATACACTGAAAGACATGTACTAGCCTGAACAATTGAAAATGTTCAAAATTGTGATTGTACAGTCACAATACTTCTTTGCTTGTTTTTAAGCACAGTATCCAGTAGCTTTAGCAGAGATCCCCTGCTGGTGACAGGCTCCTCAGAGCGTATGGTCATAGGACCTTATGAAGTGCAAATACACCAGCTTGTCTGGCAGAACAAAGTTCGCTACTTAAGCACAAGAAGCATAATCAGAACAGGGAGCAATGAAACAAACTCTCTACCCAAGTCCAGCAATGTCACCCAGCACTGTCTCACTGATATACAACCTAATCAGTAATTCCAAATTTAACCACGGGCTTATGTGTCATTTCAGTTTAACTGCAACATTATTTCCTTGGCAGAAGTCTCTTTTTAGACCACAAACTCTCCTCATCTTCAGGACACCTGCTCTGACCGTAAGAATGGAAGGATAATTCAGACAAGCAAAAAACTGTTTGTGGCATTAGTTGCTAAAAATTAAGAGAAGCCAACTTAGTACTTGTTAATAATGGGTACAGTTCCACCAGTCGATCACCAATTTCAAATAAAAATAACCAAACAACCTGGAAGAGTCAAAGTACTGCTGCAAAGTAAGCTGGCACAGGGCTGAGCACTCTCTTAGATTTGCTTACCCGGACAGTCAACTTCATCGCTCTCGTCCTCGCAGGTGGGCCATCCATCACACTGCCAGTTTGAAGGGATGCACTGAATGGTTCCACTCCGACACGCAAACTGCCCTGGGGTGCAGCGGAGCTCTGGGAAAAGAAGAAAAACAATCGTGCTTTGTTTGAAATGTTATTTATTCTTGCAAATTTATACACAATATATTAATCATCTACCGTGCAATGGATCACTGAAGCTTAATGGACAAAATCACTGATTAACTCAGCCTGTTAAAAACTCCTTCAGATCACTTCATGTCCTAAACTGCATGTTTGTGGTTTTAACAGACAGGAGGGTATGGAAAATAATTCTCTCAAGATATCCAAGGTAAAAACCTTCCTGATAAAGATAGCCTGTGAGCAGCTATTACCACAGCATTACCCATTTACTTCTTGTGGGGCACTGAGGAGTGCTTGTTCAATTTTCTCAGAGCTTAAATTCAACAAAAATATGTTTTGATAGTTAAGTGCTACATTATGCAACAGCTTCAGAATCCTATTTCCATTCTAATCACTGTGTATGCCAGAACCCACTAGACTTGCACAAATGTCCAGTCTGATTTAGAGACATTTCACAGAACTACTTGTAAAACGGTATCTATATCCATGAAGCTGTTTTCACTTTCTAGCTTCAGCTGTTTTGTAGAATTTCTCCATGTGAACATATCCTTTACTAGAAACTGTCACTATCTGCAAACATGTAGCTCCTGCTTCTGTGAGTTCACTGCCTACTTGCCATCATTACACTGTCACACCTAATTAGCATTACAAAAAGTACAACTTTTTAAAAACCATTTTTTTTCAATTCCATCTATCAGATGTCAGAACCTAGTAACTCAGCTTCATTTTCTGTTCCTCAAAACATTTTTCAGGGAATAAAAAGGTCTGTCTACAAAACTGAACAATTTTAAGCTTATTCACAGCTAGTCTGCCAATGCCAACACCATCCACAGGCTCACTTTTGCACCTGACCATCACTGTCCATCTTTCTTCTTGACAGTGGTTGTCAATTTTCCAACCATTGTTTTGATCAATTTAGCACATTTTCCTCTCAGTGAGCTGCACTAATCCCAGGCAATTTATGTCTACAGAATGAGCACCTTTTTAAACAGAAAAAAAATGTTTATATGTAAAACATACTGATTTTGAATAGATCCAGTAGGCAACTGTCTTGCAGAAGGAAATCACTAAAAGAGAATTTAAAATACAGGCATGCATTCTCTCATCCACAGTTTACAAAGTAAGAGCAGACTGTAATTGCAATTGTTACTTCTTGAAACACGTGTCTAAGCTAAATCAAGACAGAGGTCGCATTTAAGTGCTCAAACAACATGACTGGGCATAATAAACCCAGTCATCAGAGCACTCTCAATAAAAGCTGTACACATACACCTAGTAATTGGTATAACATATTGATAACAGGCTTCTAATTTGATGTTAGACTGAAATCCAGTCCTACTACTGGTTCCTCTATAAAGCACAGACCTGCTCTTCTAGAAGAATAAAAGCAGGCACATCCTCTTAGCAACCACCTACTCAGAGCAAACATTCAGGTCACAAGATGCTAAGAACTCACACAGACCTGCCAGACTACTGACGGCAACAACAGACCTGACAGAACAAGAGTGTTCTCACCCATTCAGAGATTTATTCAGCCCAAACAGCTAACAGAGAATGAGCACAGGGGAAATGGGAAAAAAATAGAAATTATCAGTCGTAATGACATCCCCCTCAGAAAAAAAAAAAAAGAAGTAATTTATTTAGCCTGAAGAGGGAAAGGGGAATTAAACAGTTGGGAGGGGGTGTTAAAAAAATGGAGGAAAAGCTTTGCTTGCCCAATATAGTGAGAGAAAATTTAAAAATCTATCTTTAAGCTAAATAATTTCAAAACTAATATCTATGAGTTAATTAAATCTCCTTCTAACTTAGAGGAAAAAACACAACAACACACTAACCACCAAATCAAACAAATACAAAACCTCAAGCTGAAATGAAAAGCATGCAGATTTCAAGTCTACAGAAAAGCACCATTTTAGAAATCATTGCAGCTTCTTTCACCACTTTTGCACAAGCTCAGGACACAGTGGGAGGTTCCTTAGAAAGTCTTGCTACTCCAGTTTCAAATACAGAATTTACACTGGAGCCTGTGGTAGATCTTTTAACACATCAAAGACTATTCTCAGTCCATCTCCAGGTTTCAACTGCATCCACCTGTAGTTATGAAAAATTCAATACTTTAAAATAAACTTGATTTTTTCTTTTACTGCTTGACTTCAATGGAATTCACAGATACACTTTGTGAACAAAGTTATCCTGCAGCCTTCTGGTTTCACAGGCAGCATTCACCAGGAATGCCAACCTGCACATGGGAAAAACAGTCAAGAATACTTTTGTCTGTCTGCAATTTCATACATGCTATTACTATTTTATGTACAATTATATATGACTGGTTCAGATAAAAAGGATGACTCCATCTCAGTATTATGGGCATTAAAAAAATGCCAGCTACATGCTGTAATGTCATTACTTCCTGTATTAGAGACACTCCTCTCTAAAGAATGTGGATACATGGAAGAGTACAAAACATTTATATTAAAACACCTTTCAGACCAGCTGTACCATTGTTCCCAATGGAGATCATGCTGTCAGATGCACTAATTATTTCAGACCAAGGAACATGAACTGCTACGCAACTCTGCTGCGGAAGGCAGAAATGTGACACAAAGAAATACTGTGAAATTAAAATCTCTGTCAATAAGCCCTCCTGAGCTATCCCAACCCTGAGCCATCAGCAGTAAGTTACAGACATAAAAAAAGATGGAAGTCTATAACAAAGCTGTAAGATACTTAACCAAAGAATGGAGATATTTGGTAGAGGCAAGGGTGCAGAGGGTATGCGCTGGTCAAGAACCCTGTGAAACATCTCACATCAGTAGCCCATTTTTAACTTAAACCAGCAAATAAATTAAAACATATCAAGCCCATCTCTACCACAGAAAAGGCAAGTCACACTGCCAGCAGCAGGGCAGGAGTCAGGAAGATGTATGAGCAGTACTGAAAAGTATATTATGTGACCATCCATCTTTCCTGGAATGCAAGTAATCACTTAACACATGGCCAGACTTTGTACTTTCCAGGAGTGTGGTAAATAAAAACTATTTCTTCACCCATATATTTTCAGGTCTTTTGAAGAATAGCAAAGATTTCAAAAATATCAGTCCTTTTCTGTCCTTAAAGCCAGATATCCCTCACAGTTCACAGATGTTGGCGGTAACTCACAGTAAGAAAGGATCAAGAAAGTAACTTAAACTATCGCCTCTTCACAGCACTAAATCCATACTTTCCACCAGATACTAAATGCAGAAACATATTTTCAAATATTCAAATTAGTAAATACAAAATGGCACAAGTTCAGCCAAGAGCAAGCAGCTGTTGGAGCAGAAGTGCAAGACATTAAGCCAAGGGCATCAACAATTGTGTCGAAGTGAAAACGTGGAAATGCAACCTCCCCCAGTGTTCACGTACAATGTGATAAGTGACATCAGCAGTATTATGATTCACATTGGCAATTCTAACATAACAGGCTTCTTTTTCTTTTAGAGATCAGATGCAGTCTTTGCTATGCTACAGGATGAAATTTAGTGCACTGAAATCTTATTGCAGAGCAATTAAATTCATCTGGCATTTGCTGGTAAGAAAGGAGACAACTAAAACACTGAAAATAGCAGCAATTGTAGTTTTTGCACTATACAGAGTATAAACTTACAAAACATCACAAAGTTCAGGCAATGTGAGAACATGAAAACACTTGAAGCAGTGAGGTGTCATGATAGTGAAATGAAGAGACTATCTCAAAACACTTCTACAACATTAACCCTCAACAATCTTACCAACCAATGCATCCTCTGCCACAATTACAATGAAGTACGGAAAAATTCAAGAGTTTGCCATGGGCAAGATGAAGCTGTAGGGAGCCAGCTGTCCTGACTGACTGCAGGTTCTATGCTTTCATGATGGCACTGTGTTTATTCCCTAGACCCCAAGCAACCTGCTCGTTCACCAGCACACCTGTACCTGAACAAATGTCTGTCAGAAATATCAAGTAACAACAGCGAGTTCTCTGGTAACACTTCACCTGTTTCTCTACTATAAATTGGAAACAGAAAACAAGACATTCCTTAACTTGATATAAAAAGAGCAGAAAAACCAAAATCAAATTCAGACCAACAACTCTAGAAGCTAAATACATAACCAAAGGTAAAGCTTACTGTCAAGTGAAGGCCAAAAAAAAACAACCCAATTATCAACTTGCTGGGACACATTATTAGATAATATAACCTGGGCACAAGTCACTCATCTGAAAGAAGTTTTACCAATGCTAGTTGTGGACTTGTAATTCAAAATTTAAAGAAAACTTACAAAACAGTTGGAAATTTACTTAATCAAACCAGAAATTACAAGATTATAAATCAATTTTAACAGCGCCATACAAACAAGAGACCTTCATCTGCTTTAGCTGTCACTTATTTTTCTAAGTTAGCCAGCAGCAAAGCCAACAAGATTTTTGACTAACAGAAAATCTGGGGTTTCATACAGGAAAAACCTAATGTTTCAAGGTGGTTGCTTACACGCTCACAGGGAATTTTTGTTCTCAAGATTTTGCTCACTGCATGTTGAATGCCAGGTGTTTCACAGAACTCATCATGTATTTCCTCACAGGTCAACTAGCTTTTTGAATTTTCTTTACAGCAGGATAATTTCCTGATTTTCTGCTAAGTACTCAAAAAAAAACCCAACATTTACAAGAAGCATTATCCACAGGAAGGACTTTATGGTAGATGAATAAAACACACACACATACTCCCTCTAATTTCCAGCCAGCTTCATGTGTTTCACAAAACAAACAGATTTTGGCCACTATAAAATGATCCAGGAAGTCCTTTCAGGTTTAACGACCTCACATATTCTCTCTGTGTAATTGAGAACGTTTTCCTCCTGGAGCCCAAGTGCTGAGAAGCTGCAGTGCATCCTTCCTACAGCACTGACCAATGACCTGCCCTGAGCATTACACTACCTGAAACCCATATTTTCTG